AAGTGTATCCCGGGTGGCTCAACTAAACAGCCAACTCTTGATTTTGGCTCAGGTCATGATTCCAGGTCCTGAGATTGAGCCCCATGTCATTGGGCTCAAACATGGCAGGAGTTTGCTTGAGGATTCTTTCTCTCCCTCTGCCCTGCCCCCCTCCCCCCTGCTTGTGCTCTCTCTCAAATAAATAAATCTTAAAAAAAATAAAAAAAAATAATAATAACAATAACTAATAATAATGTGACCCACATATTTCTCTGGTAGTTTTCATTTTAATTACTGAGTTTGGTGCTTTCCCTAACTTTTGATGAGGGTATTAGTTCTCTGCATTTTTTAAGGCTTTTGGATTCATGCTTCATTGCAGGGATGGCAAAGTAGCATTTGTATCTCAGGAATGTGAAAGCTGACAACCCTATAACTTGTTTTTCCATCTATCTTATATATTTAAACACATGTAAAGAATGGATTTAATGTCATCCAAACTTGTCGTGATTGCCTCATTCCAAAGTGGCTGTGTGATCATTGTTTCTTTTACTCAACCATAAAATGACATATAAATGGTGCTTGTGTTTTTTAAAAAGATTCTAAGTAATCTCTACACCCAATGTGGGGTCAAACTTACAACCCCAAGATCAAGAGTCACATGCTCTACTGACTGAGCCAGCTAGGCGCCCCTAAATAGTGATCATTTTAATAGTAACCTAAGATCAAGCTTACCACATTTATTTTTTAATTTAGTGTATATATATATATTTAAAGATTTTATTTATTCATTTGAGAGAGAGAGTGAGAGAGCACACATTAGGGGAGTGGCAGAGGGAGAAGAAGAGGCAGGCTCCCCACCGAACAGGGAGCCCAACGCAGGTGTACAGTGGCATTAAATGCATTCACACTGTTGTGCAGCCATCACCACCATCCATCTACAGCACTTTTTCATCTTGCAATGAAAATCTATTAAACTTTTTTTTTTTTTTTTAAGATTTTGTTTATTTGACAGAGAGAGACACAGTGAGAGAGGGAACACAAGCAGGGGGAGTGGGAGAGGGAGAAGCAGGCTTCCCGCGGAGCAGGGAGCCCGATGTGGGGCTCGATCCCAGGACTCTGGGATCATGACCCAAGCCAAAGGCAGACGCTTAATGACTGAGCCACCCAGGTGCCACCTGTATCTGTTAAACCTTAACTCCTCATTTCCCCCTCTCTCTAGCCCTTGGCAGCCACCATTCTACTTTCTGTCTCTGTGAATTTGAATACTCTCAGTACCTCATATAGGTGGAATCATACAGTATTTGTACTTTTATGATTGGCTTATTTTACTGGCATAATGTTCTCAAGGTTCATCATATTATAGCATGTGCGAGAATTTCCTTGATCTGTGATTTCTTACTTATGCTCGTGTTTCAGGTTCCTTATACAGAGCCTTAACTTACCTAGATGAAATTCTCCTCAAATTTGTTTTCCTAAGGAATGAATGGAGTGCTCCCTAAAAAGCTGAAAAACTGGTACCTACCGATGATCATAGTAGCAGCATCCACAATAGCCAAAAAGTGGAAATAATCCACATGTCCATCAACAGATGAATGAATAAAGAAAATGTGGTATATTTATACAATGAAATATTTTTTTAAAAAGATTTTATTTATTTGACAGAGAGAGAGTCAGCGAGAGCAGGAACACAAGCAGGGGGAGTGGGAGAGGGAGAAGCAGGCCTCCCACGGAGCAGGGAGCCCGATTCGGGGCTCGATCCCAGGACCCTGGGATCATGACCTGAGCCGAAGGCAGACACTTAACGACTGAGCCAACCAGGCACCCCTATTTATACAATGAAATATTATTTGGCCTTAAAAAGGAAGGAAATTCTGGCACATGCTATAACATGGGTGAAAACATTCATTAGGGAGTGGGGAGGGGAGGATGAGGCACCAATATTGGTACAGCGTTTTAGTTTGGGATGCTATAGAGTTCTGGAGATGGATGGTGATGATGGTTGCACAACAATGTGAATGTACTTAATGGCACTAAATTATATACATAAAAATGGGTAAGATGGTCAGTTTTATATATATCACAATTTTGAAATTTAAAAATCCCTACATACACAAAAAGCTATTTTGATTACATTACTTTAGCTGTCCACAGAAATAACTTCACAGAACAATGATTAAATACTGTACTTTTGGATTTTTAAAAAACGGTTTATTTATTTGAGAGAGAGAAAGAGAGAGCCTGTGCAAGAGGGGGAAGGGTTAGAAGGAGAGAGAGAAAGAAAATTTAAAGCAAACTCTGCACTGAGCATGGAACCTGATGTGGGGCTCAGTCTCACAACCCGGACATCATGACCTGAGCCAAAATGAAGAGTTTAATGCTTAACTGACTGAGCCACCCAGGCGCCCCATATTTTTTGATTTTTAAACAAAGTTAGTATAAGAAATAGTAATCTGAAGATAATTTCTACATGTTTATGAGAATCACATAGTTCAATTTATGACTGTTGATGACAATGTCCATTGTTTGTGAAATGCCCCAATGATACATTCTCTCTTGACTTTAGTTCTTGGATATTTTGCTTTCATGGTGCATTCCTGCTTGCTCTCTTTATGAGATAACAAGATATCTACCTTTCCCCTTTGGCTATTAGGAACTGAGAATCACCTTGTATGATGATTTGTGGTGTATTAGCTGTATTCCCTGAAGAATCATTAACCATCATTAAATAAATAATTCCTGTTTCTACTCACTATGAACACTATGAGTGAAGCAGCTTGGTTACAATTCAGCATCTGCAATCCAGACTGCTGGCCTTTGTGACTTTAAACCATGTTTCTAATTCCAAAATGTCTTAATAGCATGTCTGTTCCTATCATCTATCACGCAGATTCTTGTTGTATTCCATTTCTGGAAAATAATTCTCATATTTTTAAAGTTCCTCTAAGGCATATCATATATGCCATACTGCTCCAAATGCGTATCATATATGCCATACTGCTTATGTTTTAAATCCGATCATCTCAAACGTATCTTCCAAATTTGGTTTAGAGGTATCCATACAGATATTTTTCTAGTGCAATATTAGACAAAACCAAAAACTTTATTCATATGGACAGTGCTCTCCACACATACATCATAGCCCTAGTATTTTTGTCACTTGGTTTCCAAATTTTGGCACTAACTTTTAACTATCTTTTTTTCTTCCCTCAAATATCCAATCAGCTGTCAAAATCTGTAGTTTCGGTCTTCACAATTATTTTACATCTGATCCTTCCTTTGTAATCTCAGTGTTACACTCTCCCATCTTCTTTCTTCAGGACTTGGAGTCTCAGTCTATTTGGGCTGCTAAAATAAAACATCACAGACTGGGTTGTAAACAACAGTTTATTTCTCACAGCTCTGGAGGCTGGAATTCTAAGATCAGGGAGCCAGAGTGATTTGATTCTGCTGAAGCCCTCCTCCAGATTGCAGATTGCTGATTTCTCACTGTGTCCCCACATGGTGGAAGGGGCGAGGGATCTCTCTAGGGTCTCTTTTATAAAGGCACTAATTCTGTTCACAAGGGCAGAGCCCATCTCTAAATACCATCACAATGAGTATTAGGATTTCAACATATAAATTTTGTGGGGACACATTTGGACCATAGCACTAGATTATCCCAATATCATTCCAACCGGAGTCTCTGCCATACCTGTCCTCTGTCCAGTTGGTTCCCTATGCTGTTGCCAGGTCTATCTTCACTCTTGGCATTTATACAGGCCTTCCAAAATGTGGCTCAAACTAAAGGTCTGGTACAATTACCACTATTCCTCTAGGCATACCCTAGGCCTAGACAAACTGAAGTACTCACTGTCTCCTCATCATGTTCTGCATTTTCGCACCTTAATGCTTTGATTCATGTTAGGTACCGTTGGAAAGTGCTTCCCCCTACCCCATCCCCAATCTCTGCCACTCAAAAATACTATCCATCTACTATATGCCACCTCCTTAAACTTTTCCTGATTCTATAGATGTGATCTGTCCTGGGTAAACCTCCTCTGGCCTTTTATATCTTGTTGTCTCTTGTGCCAAATGGCATATTGGTCTTATATTAAACTTACTTATGTATTTCTCTCTCCTACATAGGCTTCTAAGATAATGAACCATGGTTCTTTAGCTACTTATGTTTCTTTATATTTTCTGCTTAGATCAATGTCTTGCTTTCCAAATGTACACAAAAAGTATTTTAATGAAATTGGCGTAACTTCAATATTGACAACATATCCCAAGAAAATAACTCGAAGATGTGTTTAAAAGGGTGCTATTTGTACAAAAAATGTTTTTTTCAGAACAGCAATATGTTTATTCAGAATGTTTATTCAAAAATGTTTATTCAGAACATTTCGAACATAAGTAATCCAAAAGTTCAACAATAACAGAATGGTTAGATAAATTAAGGGCAGGACCCGAATCTAATTCTTCTCCTGTGACTGCCCATAGGGAGTATTTACAGTTTATTAAATGAACGGTATAACGTGGCAACAGGATTTCTTTGTTTTTAAAGGTTTATTTAACAGACACAGCGAGAAAGGGAACACCAGGGGGCGGGGGGAAGAGGGAGAAGCAGGCTTCCCGCTGAGCAGGGAGCCCGATGCGGGGCTCGATCCCAGGACCCTGGGATCATGACCTGAGCCGAAGGCAGACGCTTAACGACTGAGCCACCCAGGCGCCCAGGCAACGGGATATTATATAGGCAAGTGCGTAAGAAATCAGGTTTAGGAAAAAATAACTTTACAAAACATACGTACTATATCTATTAAAAACCTATGGAAACACGTTGTTAATAATCAGAAGGGCCGAGAGAAAGCCGGCTGTCACATCTGAACAGGAATTTAAATGGCGTCCTCATACATACGCCTGTGAAGTACGCACGCGAGACATCATTAGCTCCGTTTTATGGGTAAGAAACTGACCCACTGGGGTCAGCAATGATTGACTAAGGCGGAGCCAGGACTCCGCCTCCCGGACCTGGGTTCTTTCCCCGCCACTCCTCGGCAACCTTGATTGGTGCTGGGAGTCTCGGTTTCCTTTATTTCACCCTCATTCCTTTTTCCACCCCAGCCCAGAGACGCGGGCGGCAGGCGGGTGGCACGTGCCCGACGAGGTGCAGGGGCGGCGGCGGCGGCGGCGGCCGAGCTGAGCTTTCGGCCCCTGCGACCATAGAGTCCGGAAGTGCGGCCAGAGCAGCTCCCGGGGGCGCCGCACGGGCAGAGCCCGGGACAGCGAGGGCAGCGCCCGGGCGGGCCGAATGGCCGCAGCGCTGGCCATCAGGGTGGTCGTGGGGCTGGCGGCAGCGGCGCTGGCGGCCGTGCTCCTGGAGCACTATGGCCTGGCCGGTCAGCCCTCGCCGCTGCCCCAGCCCCGCGCCTCCCGGAGCCCACACCCCGCACCGGGCCCCGGAGCCAGCAACATCTTCTGGGGGCTGCAGGTGACGCAGCGGGAGCAGGGTTTGGGGTGGGTGCAGAGGCGTCACTACGCGGTGAGACGCGGGCAATTTCCGCCGGGGTGCGACCGCCGCGGACCCAAACTCCCGGCTGGGGGCTCTGTCCTTTCCTTGGGGGGGAGGGGGCGTTCGTTCTTGCACTGCATCCTTGCCATTTCCTTCCGCCTCGAGAGAGCTGCATGGTCGCCTGCTTCCGTGCTGCCTCTTCCTGACTCAGATCTCTCTGTTTAATACCTGCTTTCGGCAGATATCCGACATTCACCTGAGCAGGTTTCGTGATCCAGGCAGAGCTGTAGACTTAGAGAAGTTCTGTTCAGAAACTATTGGCATCATTCAACCAGCTCTCGTCCTGGCAACAGGTAGGGAGGGTTGCCGTGCTGTCGCGTTGTTCTGTGGTCCGGATGGTAGAATGCTAGGCAGGGCTGCAGCTTTTCACTTCGGGCATGTTGGGAACACTATAGCCCCAGCTCCAGGTGAGTCCTCCTGTAGAGAAGATGGGACATTGTAATTTCCTTTGCCTATGGATAATTGAATCAAGATCCAAGCTAAATGGCTTGCCATAGCAAGGTTTTGTCAAAGCAGTAGAAGCAAGGCTCATGATTCTCATTAGTATACATACCGTCTGCTATGTTTGTATTCGTTCGTCGTTGTTGTTATAGTTCTGGATTTGAGAGAGAATTAGGGAAAGCCCTTTAACCACAAATGAAGTTTTTTTCTTAATTCCTACCTACCTTCCTTCCTAACTTCCTTCCTTTTTCTTTTCTTCTTTCTTTTTCTTTCTTTTTTTCTTTCTTTCTCTTTTTCTTTTCTTTCTTTCTTTCCTCTCTTTGAGGGGGGAGGGGCAGAGGGAGAGAGAGAATTTCAAGCAGAGCATCGTGACCTGAGCTGAAACCAAGAGTGGGAGGCTTAACCGACTGAGCCACCCTGGTGCCCCCAAAGTTACCTTTTTTAAAAAAACTAACTCCCCCCCCCACCTTTTTTTTAAACAGCATTAGTCAATCTTATGTTGTCAATTGAGGCTTAAAGTGATTTAGGACACTTTTCTTCATCTTTTGGTACTTCTGTGACTTGGGTTCTCTAGTCTTCAAACTTCTATTTGCTCCCTAAATGCATTGTAGAAAAAGTAAAGGAGCATCTGCCATGTTTATTGGGGGATTCATATCCTACCCACCTTACTGAAACACCTCTGCTGATATGATGGATTATCAGTCCTTATGTTATGGAAAACCTCCATTTCAACTTTCCGTTTAGTTTTCCAGAAATTTTGGTATTTCACTGACCAACCACACCTTCTAGATTACTTCTTGCTGTGGAAATAACACTTGGCCAGATTACATAACCTGATTTTGGGTGTGGAAAATATGGTTGTCATAGATATCAGGCATCTGCCCAGAGTGTTGGAATTTCTTATAGTTTGCATTTTTGTCAGAGTTTCACGATGCGTTTTGTACTGCTCTCTTTAAAGATAATTTTTTTCAGAACCCATTTCTAATACCATGGGAAGTTAAATAGGTACTTGCTAACCTATAAGAAAGTCTTTGCCAAGAAAATCTCATTTTATAGGGCTTGCTCTGGACATAGATGGACTTACAAATCGTTATGCTTGTACATGTTGAGTACTTAAGTATCTTTGTTCCTTCAGTGTGCATTTAAAAACATTTTTAACCCCTTGGGTTTATTTTGCATTGTGATTCAAGTCTTACGTAAATCTACAGGAGACCTGACTGATGCCAAAACAAAGGAACACTTGGGATCCAGGCAGCATGAGGTAGAATGGCAAACTTACCAGGGTATTCTGAAGAAGACAAGGGTCATGGAAAAAACGACGTGGCTCGATGTTAAAGGAAATCATGGTAAGAGTCAAGACCCACATGTAATTAAAACTAGATTTTTTCCCCTTCAAGGGCCTAGATTCTCCAATTTAGAATATAAAATTATAAAATGGGAACATTGTAACATAGTTTTAGTTAGACTGAAGGCCACAACTCTGAAATACAACTATATTATGTGATTTTAAAGCTTCAGATGTCACTTTAAGCCTTTGAGGGGAAAGTTGGGATGGTCATTTCTTCTTTACATGAAGAAAAGCTTCTAGCAAAACCTATGTAGAAGGGTGTTTAAAAATATAACCATTTTGGGCGCCTTGCTGGCTCAGTTGGTAGAGCACACAACCCTTGATCTAGAGTCATGAGTTCAAGCCCCACACTGGGTGTGGAGCCTACAGTCAATCAGTCCATATGTATATACATTCACACTGCATACATAAATACATATATATAGATCTATAGATATACATTTTGCTAATAGAAGGCACCACCCATAAGTCTATATACTGTATGATTCCATTTATATGACATTCAAGAAAAGGCAAAACTATAAAGAACAGATTGTGGTTGCCAAGGGTTGAGGGTGGGGGGATAGGCCGACTACAAAGAGGCATCATGGGAGAACTTTGGGATGATGTAACTGTTCTGTATCTCCATTGCAGTGGATACATGACTGTGCATTTGTCAAAACCCAAAGAACTATACATTACAGTGAATGAATTTTACTGTGTATACATTAAAAAATTAAAATTGCAAATAAATCTCTATGTATGAGGGGAGAAATGGATAATCCCTTCACATTTTTTACATTATTATTGTCTTGTTAGTAATGAACTCTTTAGCAAAGTGTCCTAACAGGTTTGTTTTATAAAGGTTGACTTTCTTATTGGTTGTTAAGTACTTTGTCTGCTTCATTTGATTATTAATTGCTGCTGTGTGCCTAATTATATATATTTCTAAAACTATCATTTTAAACAGATAATTCTGTCTGGTGAAATACATAGTTTTGGTTTGATCAGAAAATGCCCTTTTTATAAATAGTTCTTACAAAGCAGCTAGGAATTATTAATTGATGATGGGATATCTGGCTTACAGCTTTCTCTGGTATACCCTGTAAGTCTGATCCTGAACTTATGATGGTTCAACTTATGATGGTTTGATCAACGATTTTTTTTTTTTAAGATTTTATTTATTAGAGAGAGAGCAAGTGAGAGAGAGAGAGAGAGCATGAGCAGAGGGAGTGGCAGAGGGAGAAGGAGACTCCTTGCTGAGCAGGGAGCCCGATGCGGGGCTCCATCCCGGGACTCTGGGATCATGACCTGAGCTGAAGGCAGTCGCTTAACCGACTGAGCCACCCAGGCGCCCCTTGACCTACGATTTGTCAACTTTACAGTGTATGAAGCTGATACACATTCAATAGAAACTATATTTCGAATTTTGAATTTTTATCTTTTCCTGGGCTAACAATATGCAATATGAAACTCTGGTTATGCTGGACACAATCACCAGGGTAAAAAGCCATTAACCTTATAACTATTCTGTGCCCATGCTGTCATTCTGTTTTTCACTCTCAGATATTCAACATGAGATATTCAACACTTTATTATAAAACAGGCCTTGTGTTAGATGATTTTGCCCAGCTATAGGCTAATGTAAGCATTCTGAGCATGTTTAACGTAGGCAAGGCTAAGCTCTGATGTTCAGTAGGTTCAGTGTATGAAATGCATTTTCTATTTAAATATTTACCACTTAAAATGGATTTGTCTGGACATAACCCCATTGTAAGTTGAGGAAGATCTGAATTTATATTTCCCTTTTTTCCTGATCTTAATTAGTGGTACAGGTCAAATTCTTTTGCAATAAAAGCAAGTCTGTACATAATAAAAAAGTTTATTTTTTAACAGCATTAGTCAATCCACTGACTAAGCCAAACTACTGACTTATTTCAAGTAATAAATATCAGACTCTTGTGATGAGATCTTGTGAACAGAGCTTGTCCTTTGGAGGTCATGATAATCTAATTTGACTTGTATAAGCACAAATGCTTATAGTATGTGTGTATATATATGTTTATATATTGTGTTAAGATAGGAGGAAACTAATTTTTATTAAGATTTAACTATAACAGTGTAGTTCTCTTAGTAAGAGGATTGCATACACAATAAGTTCTTTTGGCTTAAATTGGACTTAACAGCTTATTCTCTGAAGTTATTAGAAATATAGTGGATTCTTGGAATTCCAAGCTGGTAAATAATTTTAGTTATTGCAAGCAGGCAATCAAGCTCAATGAAATAATTATATTTCCAGATAAGTGTTCTATGACATCTTTTACCTTACCCCTTACCATTATATAACTCCTTTCTTACTGAATCTCTTTAAGATTTAAGAAGAGAGGGTCTTAGGTCCTGTTATCAAAGTGATTAGCTGTTTAGAAACACTTGGCATGGATCCATGTATCAGTCATGATTAAAACAGCATCAACAGTCCAATCTTACAACGGCAAATTGATTTATTCTGAATAGTACATAATATCAAAGTATTTCTTATTCTCCAGTATGTGGGGTGCCTTAAATTAGTTTCCAGATAATCTGAATTCTGTTATCAAGTTTTAAAAACTATCAGGCTAATTTATTGGCATTCTGCCATTTAGAGATGTTATTGAAAATATTGTCATTTTTCTTTAGTCATTAAGATGTTTGTATTTTTCTTTTTAATATAGATGATGGTTGCTCTTTTTTTTTCCCATGTGCTTTTTTTGTTTTTTGTTTTTTTCCAAATTCTTATTTAAATTCTAGTTAGTTAACATATGGTGTGATATTGGTTTCAGGAGTAGAATTTAGTGATTCATTGCTCTTTTCTTTTTAATTAGATGCATTCAACATTCCAAGTCTGGAGAGTGTCGAGAATTATTACAGGTACTGTAGTGAACAGAATACAGACCATGAAGTAGTATAAGGGGAGTGCAGTCAAGTCAATGAATGGGTGAAAATATTTTTTAATAGAAGAACTTCTAGTAACTTAGAATTTTTGTGTGTGTGTGTATGACAGATTCAGTTACTTTCTTCCCCCAAGACTTTTTCTTTCCTTTAATTCCTTTTATCTCATACACTTTATGCTTTTTATTGGCTAATGATACTTCAAATATTTCACACAAACTTTTTTTTTGCCATTGATACTTAGCAGAAGTCATTTTTTTATTAGTCATTTTTTTTACTTGGATATAATTGACATATAACATATTCATTTTAGGTATACAACACAGTGATTCAAGAGTTGTATGTATTGTGAAATGATAACCACAATAAGTCCAGTTAACACCCATCACCATACATAATTAAAAAATTTTTTTTTCTTGTGAAAAACTTTAAAAATCTACTCTCAGCAACTTTCAAATATATAATAGAGTGTTTGACTGTAGTCACCATGCTATACATCAGAAGTCACTTAGATTAGAGCTTGTTATGAGAGTACTGTCGATTTTAGGAATACTGAGAAACTGATGCTCTCAGCCTCTACAGTGGCTGAGGAGCCCAGTTGGTCACCCACTTTGTCACAGAAATATTAAAATTTTCTTTATATGCCATGAATGTGAAAAAGGCTATGACTATGAAAGGCTCTTTGCATTAGAAAACCAGTTCTCTAGTTTCAATGTGTTGGGATTCTTTTAGTTGCAGTTTCACTTCCAGTTCTAGGATATTCCACAGCTTTGTCCTACATTGTCCATCACTCAAGTAGTGAGAATTTGGTGAGAGCCCATCGTTAGCTGGATAGCGTGAGAGATACAAGAGCTAATATTAAAAAATATGGCCTCTGCCTTCAAGGAAGTCCAGTTAAGAGAGATAAGAATTGTTTGGGAAACAATTAGAAAAGAACATGAAGGGATGACTGATGAAATGCTACATTATTTGGTAGACATGATAATCACTATGAGAAATCGGAAAGGGCAGAAGTCAGCATGGGCTGGACATAGAGGAGACTTTATCTTATTTTTGAGATATAATTGACATATAACATTGTATAAGATTAAGATATACAACATGTTCATGTGACACATAAATATATTGCGATATGAGGACCACCATAGAATTAGCTAATACCTCGATCACTATCACATAATTATCATTTTCTTGTGGTAGGAATAATTAAGATCTAGTCTCTTAGTGACTTTGAAGCTTATAAAACAGATTTGTTGATTATACTTACTATGGTGTGCATTAGATCTTCTGAATTTATGTATCTACCTAGGTGTAAGTTAGGACTTAATAAAAGAAGTAAAACTTGTGTTCAGTCTTAAAAGAAGGGTTGCGGAGAAGTAAGAAATTTTGAGGGGTATATTTTAGGCAAAACCACAGAATTTTTAAAAGCTAGAATGAGCTTTTAGGGACAGTAAGGAAACTGGTATCACCAGAAAAAAGGATCATTTTGAGGACTGGTATGACATTGGGTAGGTAGCTTAGAGCCAATTTATGGAGGTCTTAAGTGACAGGTGTAGAAATTTAGATGTGTTGTGTAATGGTTCATAATCCAGTATAGATTCCTAAGGAGACAAGTCAGATAATGAAATAATATTTTATAAAGGGCAATCACACAACAAAAAAGAGAAAAGATAGGGATAATAAGGAAAAAAAGCTATGTAGAACAAATGGGAGAGTCCTGTAATAGTCCAGTCATGATATGGAAGGGCTTGAAATGAATAGGAGACATACCTTTCTAACAAAGTCCATATATATGGGGACAGTGTCATCAGCTGGAGGGTGGCAGGTCAAACAGCATTGGTTAACATATAATTCGATTCACTGTAACTTGGAGGATGAAGTTGTCCTTTGTTTTTAATGTGAGAAAGGAAAAGGTCAGAGATGAAAATCTTTCCTTTTATCTATTTGTATCTTTGATGGTGACTATGGAATGGAACTAGGAAACATTTTCAAAGAAGAATTAACAGGACTTTGGGTCTGACTGGTTATCGGGAGGGTAAAGCTATTAGTCATTTGGAAGTTTCTTACCTTTATATTTTTGTTACTAACCACCTAAACTGTATCTGAATTTTTAATAAACAGCATTTTATTTTTTTTTTTTTTTAGATTTTATTTATTTATTTGACAATGAGAGAGAGATAGCGAGAGCAGGAACATAAGCAGGGGGAGTGGGAGAGGGAGAAGCAGGCTTCCTGCCAAGCAGGGAGCCCGATGTGGGGCTTGATCCCAGGACCCTGGGATCGTGACCTGAGTTGAAGGCAGATGCTTAATGAGTGAGCCACCCAGGTGCCCCAATAAACAGCATTTTAATAAACAGCCAGAGATACGGACATTACAGATATATCAGCCTGAACGAGAAAGCTTAAAGCTAAATCTTGATCTTAAGAATGGCCCAGAGAGGGGTGCCTGGGTGGCTCAGTCGTTAAGCGTCTGCCTTCGGCTCAGGTCGTGAGCCCAGGGTCCTGGGATCGAGCCCCACATCAGGCTCCCTGCTCAGCGGGAAGCCTGCTTCTCCCTCTTCCACTCCCCCTGCTTGTGTTCCTGCTCTCACTCTCTCTCTGTCAAATAAATAAATAAAATATTAAAAAAAAAAAAAGAATGGCCCAGAGAATGTCAAAATCCAGAATTCAAAAACTGTTAATAGCTATCATATATTTTAATCTCTACTTTCAAATAGTTGGGTTATTTTTAGATAATGGGTTTTAACGTATTAAAAATGTAGGAAAGGAAACAATATACGTGAGATTATAAGATCCTAAAGAAGGGTGCCTGGGTGGCTCAGATGGTTAAGCGTCTGCCTTCCACTCAAGTCATGATCCCAGGGTCCTGGGATCGAGCCCCACATCGGGCTCCCTGCTTGGCGGGAAGCCTGCTTCTCCCTCTCCCTCTACTGCTCCCCCTGCTTGTGCTCTCTCAGTCTCTCTGTCAAATAAATAAATAAAATCTTAAAAGAAAAAAAAAAGATCCTAAAGAATAACTGAAAACAAATTAAGCAGGAAAAATATAAATAAAAATTTTAATGAGAGGAAAAAAAACCCTCAAAATAGAAAATTTCATTTTTTTAAAAGATTTATTTATTTATTTATTTATTTATTTATTTTAGAGAGAGAGAGAGTGTGTGCACACGTGAGCACATGCGAGTGGGGGAGGAGCAGAGGGAGAGGAATAAGCAGAATCCATGCTGAGTGCCAAGCCCAATGGAGGGCTAGATCCCATCACCCTCAGATCTCGACCTGAGCTGAAATCAAGAGTTGCTCACTTAACTGACTGAGCCACCCAGGTGCCCCCCAAAATAGAAAATTTAAAAAATACTGGGAAGAGGGGCAATAGAACTAATTGACTTTTAATTATAATATCTGTGATAATGTGTTTATTTTATGATATATTTGATGGCTATCGTGGCTTAAATATAGCTCCCTGATAGCACATTAGGTTTCAGGAGTTTATTTGTATTTTTCCATATGTGCCTTATCTATTTTCTTATAATGTCTTGACATTTGAGTAATATAGGTATGTCCCCAACCTATACCTTCCTTCACATTTATTCAACAAATACTAATGAGTTCCCACACTGTGTACTATGTTACCCCCTCTTTCCCCCGTTCTTCACTCTCCAACCTTACAGACACCTCAACACTGTTGATACTTAGGTAGTAAGGACTTTCATTACTGAATGTATACCCTGTATAGGTTACAGATATATTTTTAGGAACTGAAAAACATTTACTGACCCAGACCTGACATTTTTCTTGATGACTTCGTCTTTGCAAGGCTTTATTGTGAGTTAAGCCTCTGTAGTCCTATTTCAAGATGTAAACACCTTTTTTTATCTCATTACACCAAGAGTTCTGCTAGGCACTTCATAGGTCCTCACTAAATTTTTCAATGATGGATAAGTACCATTTCCCTGGATTCTGTTTGATCTCTCTTTAAGTGTTCGGTGGACTGCCTAAAATAGCCACCTCCTTCTCTGCTTTGCTTGGTGACCTTGTGTTTGGTTACTTATGAATTAGTTTGCCTGAATCTTTATAGAAAATGGGAAGAAAAATCTTTAAAATCTCTTTTCATCAGCTTATTGTGGATTAGTTTATGTATTTCTCTGTCAGATTAGGAAATTTTCAAAGGGAGGCAAAATATAGTGTGATATACGGGGAGGAATTTAAACTCATTGTTTTTTTATGATTGCACTAAAACTTTCCTGTCTTATATTTTTTAGGAAATATTCTGCCGTACGTAGGGATGGCTCTTTCCATTATGTCCACAGTACTCCCTTTGGCAACTATTCTTTCATCTCTTTGGATGCCACCCCAAATCCAGGGCCTAAGAGACCCTATAATTTCTTTGGAATTTTAGATGAGGTACAGTAAAAATCTCACTTCCCTTTGTAGCTAACTAACCTATTTTGTTTTTTCTTGGATAAATGTGGCTCACTTAAGGTTATCCTAGGTAAACTAGTTCTTATCTAGAAATTCTTGAGAAAAATTTTACTGTGGTTCCAAGTATGGCTAGAAGAAATCACTGGCTACTTGAGCATTATCACTGCTGTCCATGTTCTGGTCCCCAAATCTCGTGAAGAAATACCTCACATTTTATATTTATTCAGTAAGCATTTATTAAATATATACTAAGTGCAACATGCACTTTGCAAGGTGCAAGGCATACAGCTTTTATACCATATGGTATATTCCTAAATCCCCATAGTTGCCATTTCTAACTAATGGACTATATTTATTTTAATAAGAGAAGGGCAACCACTGAAGTAAATAAATTTCTGTTAAGGCAAGTTAGGTGAAAACTGTTGCTGGATTAAAACTGTCTGGAAAGTCACATATGAGAACCTCTCATTATTTCTTAATACAACAGATGTCAGATCACTAATGAGCACCTGCCTACATGCAAGACATATGTGCCTGCATGGAAGAATACAAGAGCGATAAGATCAAGTCACTCGCCTTTTAGAATATTTAATCTAGTGGAGGGGCATAAGACTAGTGCAGAAATAACTATAATAAAGGGCAGAATTTGCTAAGTGCTGAAAGAGATTCAAAGTGATATGAAGGTTCAGAAGACCTTGAAATCAAGTGAATAAAATGTTGTGAAATGCATTGTGTTATATTAGGCATTTATTTAATGAAGGTATATTTGGTTTCTTATCCTCCAACTGTCTTTAGACAGAGTTTATTAACTTATTATTTTAAAGCCTACTCCTTAGAGCAGCGTTTTTTAAGATACGATTCAAAGATCATCTTCATGAAAATCAGCTGGACTTTTGTAAAATGCAGATTCCCAGGCTTTCCCTGAGACTTATCAAATTAGAAACCCTGAGGGTATGGTCCAGGAATTCATTGCTATTAGCACTTTACAGATAATTAATGTATATTTATACATGTACGAGTTATTTTTTTTTTAAAGATTTTATTTGAGAGAGCGAGAGAGAGAGGCAGAGCACGTGTGCATGTGTGCAGGCAGGGGGGAGGGGCAGAGGGAGAGGGAGAAGCAGGCTGTGCACTGAACAAGGAACCCCGACTTGGGGCTTGATCCCAGGACTCTGGGATCATGACCTGAGCAGAAGGCAGTTGCTTAACCGACTGAGCCACCCAGGCACCCCTGTACAAGTTATTTTTGAAATCAACTTTATGAGGGATGATTTACATACAATAAAATGCACTCATTTTAAGTGTTTGAAGAGTTTTGACAAAAAATATATATGCTGGTATAACTGTCACCACAATCAAGAGAGAACATTTCTATCATCCCAGAAAGTTCTCTTGTGTAGTCAGTCTTCACCCCAATCCTAGAGAACCACTGATGGGTTTTCTGTCAGTATAGATTAATTTTTTTTCTAGAATTTTATGTAAATGAAATCATACAGTATGTACTCTTGTGTCTGGCTTCTTTTGCCCAGTATATTTCTTTTTTTTTTTTTTTAAAGATTTATTTATTTATTTGAGAGAGCGAGAATGAGAGAGAGAGTACGTACATGAGAGAGGGGAGGGTTAGAGGGAGAAGCAGGCTCCTCGCCGAGCAGGGAGCCCGATGCGGGACTCGATCCAGGGACTCCAGGATCATGACCTGAGCCGAAGGCAGTCGCTCAACCAACTGAGCCACCCAGGCGTCCGCCCAGTATATTTCTATGATTTGTTTCTACAATTCATCCATATTATTGTGTTTGAGTAATTCTTTCCTTTTTATCACTACATAGCATTCCATTGTTTGGATATACTGATGGTTTCTAGTTTTGGGCTATTCTGAGTTGAGCTGTTGTGAACATTCAGGTACAGGCTTTTTGTGGACATACGTACATCTTATTTTAGAAGTTTGGTTTCAAGTTCCTCTTTAGTAATTGCAATGTAGTATACAGGGCTGAAGAGATTAATGGTTCTTATTTTCTATAAAGAACTTTGTTGTAAAAAGAGAAAGAAATTTATGTCATTTAAAGATTGTTCTCTATTTCTCAGTTTCCTTCTCTATCAAATGGGGATAATACTTGCCCTACTTAGCATAGAGTTATTTTTAGGACCAAATGAATTATAATGTATATGAAAACAGTTTGAAATTTATACAGGTCCATGCAGGTCACTAATTAGTAGGGTTTAGGCCTTAGACATAATATACTTATTATTATAAAACTTCAAGGCAGATGTTTAATCTGTAGATTTCAGCCTGAGCCCTAATGAAAGATCCTTGTGTTTTTCTGCCATTTCAGAAGCGGATGGAGGAACTTCTGTTACTGGCCAAGGAGAGTAGTCAGAGTAACCACAGTATTTGGTTTGGTCACTATACAACATCCACTATCCTTTCTCCATCACCTGGAATTCGGTCAATAATGAGGTGAGGCAGGATTCCAAAATCAAAATTAATTGCTTGTAATTCTTTTATGTTACTCTTGCTCTCCTGAAGAGATCTTTTTATTAGTTTGGCATTGCAAGTTATCTGTTCATTTATTCTACTCGTTTTTCATCGATTAGTTCAGCTACAGCGTATTTGTGTGGGCACCTCCATACTCTTGGTGGACTGATGCCTGTTTTGCACACTCGTCACCTCCAGGGCACTTTGGAACTTGAGGTGGGAGACTGGAAGGATAACAGAAGGTAAGGGAACTACCCCACACAATAAAACTTACACGTGTAAGTTTCGCTAAAACAATGATAGTTTTCTTATTGCTACCATGGGTGATCCCAGTCAAGGAAAAACTTATGATCTCCCTAAGTTTTTAAAGTGATATAGATATTATGTGTGTCGGTGTGTAAAAACCTCGTTGCAACAGTTATGTTTGCCATCACTATGTTACATTGGATTTTCAAGATGCATCCATTAGGAAATAGATCTCAAACTCTAGGGTGCACAAGGATTGTGGAGGAGCTTATTAAAAATAACAAATCTCCAGAGAATTTGGTTGTGTTGGTCTGGTTTCAGACCTGATTTTTTTTAAAACTCACCAGGTGTTCTATGGACCACACTTAGAGAAACATTAGAACTGGAACTGTATCACCCTCTGAATTTTATATCTACCTTTGTAGTTATTACTATGTTAGTGATTTCAGTTCTTCAAATACACGATAGTTGGTTTTATTAAGATTAAAGTCTTTCTATGAGAAAACACAGCCTGTTTATCAAAAGCATACAGTATAGTTAAATATATAGAGAAAAAAGAACTAAATACATATTTTGAGAATAACTAAGTACAGTAGCTTAAATATAGATGAGTATCATCTCATTGTTGAACTATTATCAATTACTATTTAATTTATTCAAACTCAGTTCTCTGAAGATGTTAGTTAGTAAATATTTTTTGAGCTGAATATGTTCTTTCTGTTTTTAACTACTTCCATTAATTAAAAGATAGCTTTACATCTTGGAAGGTACTTACTCATTTCAGTTGGCTCTGCTAGAAACTGTCTAAAAGCTATGCTTGAAGCCTGAAATTAGTTGGCAACTGTAATTACTTTGAGCTAGACCTGTCTATTCATGACTGTGAGGTTGTGGGCTGGGCTGGGATTGCCTTTTACTAGATAGCCTTCCTAATCCTTGATCAGCTTCTTTATTTCTTATAAATGCTATAGTTACAAGTTAAGTGCTGTCATGAAACCATTTCCTCTCTTTCTCTTTCCACCTGCTCTCCTGTTGTTCCACCCCTGGGGTTTTATCTGGAGTTTTACTGAAAGGACCTAACCTTTACCTGCCCTTTTAAACATTTAAGTTGTGTTAGGATAATAGAGGAGCTTTTAAAAGTCTATTAGTAATATTAGGCTAGGCTTTGTTGTGGATACAAATAAATCTGGAAAATATCAGTGGCTTAACACAACAGATGCTTATTTTTTCATTTATGTAAATCTGGTATGAGCCAGGACCTCTCTCTTCCATGGGGTGACTCAGGGATTCAGATTTTCTTCATCTCATAATACCACTATCTCAACACCTCAATCCCAGGGCAGGGAAGAGAGCATGGAGAACTCATACCCGCTCTTAAGTACTTTGGACCAGAAGTGTGATACATGTCACTTCTGTTTACAGCCCATTGACCAGAACTAGTCACATGGTCCCAACCTAATACCAGGGAGACTGGGAAATGCAGGGGAGCACGTGGAGTATTTGGTGAGCACTATTGTTTCTGCCATAGTTAATCATTTCTTTCCTCAGTTCAAAAAGTAGAAAATATAAAATTTTGGTTATTCTTTAATGAATATTTATACCTCTCACCATGCATTTAGAAAACCAAAATAAATTTTGTTAATTTCTTTGAAATTATAGAAATAAAGGTTTAAAAGAAGAATGAAAGATGTCTGATTGTGTTTATGTTAATATTAGCATTTTTGATGAGATGAGGAATATCAGGTATTAGGCTTATGATGACTGTCTTAGATTCAAAAGAGTCTTAAAGTATAGAAACCAAACGAATTAGTTTATCAAGCATTTATTTAAAAATGAAAGTGTGCATGCTATGTACCAGGCATTGTTCTAGGGCACAGTAAATTTATGTCTTCAGTAAGATTCCATTTGTGATAAACGTGAACTATAAAGCGGTAGGGGCAAGGGAAGAAGGGCAGAGAAACAATATTATTTACTTTGTATAAATTCATGATCTCAGAAAGTATAGTTTTATATTTTTACATTTGTTCTGTGTATAACCTTCATACCCTCTTATAATAGAAGTGACTAAATTACCTTATTGTCTCTGGTCTCTAGGTACCGGATCTTTGCTTTTGATCATGACCTCTTTAGCTTTGCAGATTTGGTCTTTGGCGAGTGGCCTGTGGTTCTTATCACTAATCCTAAGTCACTCCTATATAGCTGTGCTAGACATGAACCACTAAAAAGACTTCTTCATTCAACACACATCAGGTATGTAGCACTTTTTCGGAATTTCCTTTCAGTTTGATATTAGTGAAGAATAAGTCAATGTGACTATAATCCCATGTGAAAACTGTGAGATGCCATACTTTAATTTTCCCAATAATCTAAACATTATATAAAGATAAAATGCTTACTGCTTTATTCCCATTCAGTTAAAAAATAATTTTTTTAAGCTGTTGAAATTTAAAAAACCTCCAGAAACCCATAACCCTACCACTGCAATTTTTGTGTATTTTATTTTCATGTTTTACATGCTATAATCCCCCTAACCCCAAATAGAGCTGTTACTGACATTTCTGATTTCCTACTCAGGCATTCTCTTTGAGGCATGTTTTTATATAGTTGTAATGTTTTATTTATTTTTTTTTGGTCAGCAGTGAAGTGACTCTCAGGTTTTTTTTGACAGGAGCTGGATATCTGATTTAGACTTTATATTCTCTGAAAGGGCCTGGTAGCCTTAGCTCTGTTTGTGATACTGCGTCTTGTTGACAGTTGGGAAACAAATGAGTGGATGGTAGGATTAACATGAGATTAACAAAGTCTATTTTAATTTTTTATCTCTCAACAGAGAGAATGTACCACAATTTATCTAACCATTTTCTTACCTTACTGGTGAACTCTTACAATTTTTTCTAACTTGGGAATGAGCATCTGATGCATGTAGATTCTTTTTCCATTTGAATAATTTCTTTAGGTAAAGTTCTAAAGGTGTGAGTCTTGGTGAAAGAATATGAATTCCTTTATGACTGTTGATAAAGATTGCCCAGTTACTTTTTTTTTTGTAACTAAAATAATTTTTCTTTTAAAAATATGCAGTAAAATATATGTAACATAAGATGTACCATTTTACCAGCTTTTAGGTATACAGTTCAGTGGCATTAAAGTATATTGATTTTGTGGTGCAACCATCACCACCATCCATCATCGGAATATTCATCTTCCGAGACTGAAACTCTGTACCCATCCAACAATAACTCCCTGATTTACCCTTTTCCCCAGCCCATGGCAGCCACCATTCTACTGGTCTCTCTCTTTGAATTTCACTACCCTAGGAACCTCATATAAGGAGACTCCTACAGTATTTGTCCTTTAACTGGCTGGCTTCTTTAACATAATATCCTCAAGGTTCCTCCATGTTGTAGAGTGTGTCAGAATTTCTTTGCTTTTTTAAGGCTGACTAATATTCCATTGTGTGTATATACAACATTTTGTTTATTCATCTGTCGATACTTTTGCTTCTATCTTTTGGCGATTGTGAATAATGCTATTATGAACGTGGGTATATTCTGTTCAAATCCCTGCTTTCAGCTTTCAGTTCTTGTGGGTATATATCTAGAAATGGAATTGCTGGATCCCATGGTAATTATATGTTTAATTTTTTGAGGAACCACCATACTGTTTTCCATAGCAGCTGTACCATTTTACATTACCACGAGCAGTGCATAAGGTACCCAATTACTTTTTAAAACAGATACTAATTTATAATGTTACCAGGCAAATGAGTACCAATTTCACAGCACTCTTATCATTTTTGGATATTGTGCTTTTAAAAAGATGTACTAATTAATCTGGAAAAATGATATCAAGCTGTTCTATTTTTTTTTTTGGTCAGCAGTGAAGTGACTCTCAGGGTTTTTTTGACAGGAGCTGGATATCTGATTTAGACTTTATATTCTCTGAAAGGGCCTGGTAGCCTTAGCTCTGTTTGTGATACTGCGTCTTGTTGACAGTTGGGAAACAAATGAGTGGATGGTAGGATTAACATGAGATTAACAAAGTAAGATGTCTAACCAGTGTTCTTTTCCTATATGAAAAATCAGGACTTATCAGAAAGAACTTTGGATCTACTCTAGCTTTATTTGTCAAAAGAAAATTGATTTTCCTTTCTAAAAAGTACAAAAATAGTTTCTAATTTCTCACCAACTTAGGTTTGCTAAATTATGGAACTCCAAAAGCCACCATTCAGAAAGAAACCAGATCATGAGTAGTGGTCATATAAACAGTTATACAGTGTGATGGTTCTGCCTACATTTATATTTTTTTTAGGTTATAATAGAGTTATTCTCCTTTCTAAAAACAGTGAAAATATCTAAAACCACATGTGTATGTATGTTCTCATTTTAGAGTCTTGGCCTTTTCCTTATCCTCCATTACTTCTGTCACAGTTACGATTGATGGAGTTCATTTAGGGCAAGCTATTCATTTATCTGGTCCTATTTTCATACTGAAGTGGAACCCAAGAAACTACAGTAACAGGACACATAACATAGAAGTAACTGTCCAGGTAAGTTAGTAATTTTCAACTTGCTATATAAAGGATTTGGCTGTAACTACACTAAACTCTGCTGTGGGTTTTTTGTTTTTGTTTTTTTTTTTTTCAGTCAATTGATAGAGATGAAACTAAGTTAATTAAAAATTTGAGGGGCACCTGGGTGGCTCAGTCAGTTGAGCATCTAACTCTTGATTTCGGCTCAGGTCATGATCTCAGGGTTTTGTGCGATTGAACCCCGTGTCAGATTCTGTGCTCCATGTGGAGTCTGCTTGTCCCTCTCCCTCTTTCTCTGCTCCTCCCCACCCCCTTCCCTGGCTCTCTCTCTCTCTCTCTCTCAATAAATAAATAAAATCTTAAAAAAAAACCAACAACAAAACTTGAATACACTGGATTTAGTATATTCAGGAAATGAGCACTCAGAGGAGTCATTCTGTTAGACAAAAAACTAGACTTCTCAGTGTGTAACTACTGGCCACAGTCCCCTCTTTTTGAGCCCCAGGGAATCATTCTTTTATTGTCTTTCAACTTTGGCTAGAGTCTTTTAATAATGGCAGCAAATTCCCCAACATACCCAAAGATAATAGAATAAGTCAGAAAATATGTATTTATGTACCCATGCCTTTGCTTGCTTTCTCCAAGTACAGGAAAATTGTGTCACTATTTTGAAAGCTGTAGGATAGAGTATTTTCAAGGCATCCCAGAGAATTTTTTTGTTTGGGGAGTATGCACTGATAGCATATGTAGTAACAGTCTGCCTGCTATTCCAGTTCAGCTTGGGGGCATTTAATTCACTAGCACCTGCCAGAGTAGCAAGTGTTCATTCATTACCCAAATAGGACATTTTCGTCAATATTGTGAAATTCTTTAGGAGATACTGTGCTCAGGAATTAGTTTCTGAAAAAAAAAATCTATCGATTGCCACAACTTTATGATTTGATGACAGTTTTTAACTATTTCATCTTCTACTGTTAAGTCTTAAGTTTGAAGATTACCAAGTAATCCTTCAGAAAACACATGTAATTATTTTCATTATCTTGTGTGTGTGTGTGTGTGTGTGTGTGTGTGTGTGTGTGTGTGACAGAGAAGGATTTTGAGTAGGAAGGAGCTGTTTACTGAGCTCCTTCTAAGGAAATGCTAGACACTTAGAATTTTTTACTTAATCCATATAACAATCCTTTATGGTAGGTAGTTTTATCCCCAGTTCATAGATGAGGAAGGAAGAAAAGGCACTTTGCAATGCCACCCATCTTTGAAGTGTTCTGCTTTGGAGGAAGAAGAAACTCGGGGAGGATGTGAAAGGAATTATGACTGGGGATGAACTCTTAATATCCCTTCTATCAGAAGTTGGATCATTGAAAGAAAACCTGAAGGTACAAGTGCACCTAGAATAAATTATTCCCTATCTTTACAGTTATGAGGAGGAAGTGGGAGCAATCATAGGAGACCTGCTCGCTGTAGGAATGGGGAACTCCCAAATCCTTGGATTGCCTCAAAACCCCAGCTTCTATAATTTTATGAGAAAAAAAAAAAACTTAGCTCATGTTCCTTGAAACATTTCTGGCTGCTTCGTTAAATCCTAGTAAAAATGTGAAATCACAGGGCGCCTGGGTGGCTCAGTTGGTTAAGCGACTGCTTTCGGCTCAGGTCATGATCCTGGAGTCCCTGGATCGAGTCCCGCATCGGGCTCCCTGCTCTGCAGGGAGTCTGCTTCTCCCTCTGACCCTCCTCCCTCTCATGTGCTCTCTCTCTCTCATTCTCTCTGTCTCAAATAAATAAATAAAATCTTTAAAAAAAAAAATGTGAAATCACATATACTTTTTACATGTTTAACATTTCTTACATTATTGAGGTATAATTTACATACAAAAAAACTACATATTTAAAGAGTATAATTCGGTGAATTTTGACATATATATATATCCTTGCCCATTACTACAATCAATATAGTCTATCACCTCAAAAGTTTTCTTGTGTTCTTTTGCAGCTGTCTTCCTTCCACCCTCATGTCCAGGAAACCACTGACCTGTTTTCTTCTATATATGTATAACTTTAAAAGATTAGTCTACTGAACATTAAATAGGGAACTTGGTCCCTTCATTCGTCAATGGGAAAGTTCTATTCTTTTATTTTTATTTTTAAAGATTATTTATTTATTTGAGGAGAGAGTGAGTGAGAGAGCATGAGCACGAGCAGGGGCAGAGGGAGAGGGAGAAGCAGACTCCCCGCTGAGCAGGGAGCCCGATGTCAGGCTCGATCCCAGGATCCTGGGATCATGACCTGACCCAAAGGCAGATGCTTAACCAACTGAGCCACCCAGGTGCCCCAAGTTCTATTCTTTTAAATACAGTATACTATAGATAAGTCTGAGAAAAATCTGTGAGAGACATCAATTTATTGTCTTATATTTTACCCGCTCACTATTTTTATTGAATGTCTATACTTCTGAGCAGCCTAGTAGCAACTAGACCTTTAGATCAATTTTCAGTGTGGTTCCTGAATTAGTAGCATCAGCATCACCCAGGAACTTGTTAGAAATGTAAACTGTCAGGTCCCATACCAAACTTCTGCATCAGAAACTCTGGAGTTGGGACCCAGCAATCTTGTTTCAACAGTCCATCCAGGTGGTTCTGATGTGCACTAAAGTTTGAGAACCAGAACTTTAGATTATTGTGCCTACTTTGCCAATTGAAAGAGCAGACTCCAGAAATCTCTATATCTCTAAATCTCTATATCTCTGTATCTCTAAATTAAAGAAAAACTCTGCTTTAAAACAAGAACAAACAACTTAAAATAACATTTTGAGCAATTAAAGTCTGATAAAAACAAGTATAAATTCTTTTTTGTTATTTTTTACTTTTATATGATGGGAAACTTTAAAATTATGTGCAAGAGATAATATTATAATGAATTTCCATGTACCCATTAGCTGACTTCAACAGTTACCAACTCATGACCAATTTTGTTTCATCTATACCCCTGCACCACGATGTCATTCCATCTGTAATATGACAGTATGTATCCCTAAAAGAACTATTTTTTAAAAATGTAACCATAATACCATCACACACCTGGAAAATCAATCGTAATTCCTTAATATCAAACTAGCTAGTATTCAGTTTTCCTAATTAGTCATATATATATATATATATATATGACATGCATGTGGTTGGTTCAAATCAGAATCCAGACAAGGCTCAAATACTGCATGTAGCTGATCTGTCTCTTCAGTATCTTTTAATCTACAGGTTCCCTCTCCTTTTTTTTTTCATTGCAATTTATTTTTTAGATAACTTTGGAAACTGGATCTTTTATCCTGTAGAGTTTCCTGTATTCTAGATTTATGTTTAAATTCATGTTGTATCCTTCAGCATGTTCCTCCACCCCCTCTAGTTTCTATAACTGGTAGTTAGATTAGGAGTTTGATCAGATTTGAGTCTGTTTTTGGCAGGAATACTTCCTTTGGTGTTTTATGCTCTTATCAGAAGTTTGTGATATCTGGTTGTCTCTCTTTTAGTAATGTTAGGATTGATCATTGTATTCAGGTGTTGTTAACTTTATCCATTGGTGTGGTGGTAAATATCTATCCACCAGCTTGGGACAGGTTTGAAGGGGGAACCCTGATTTATAGTGTTTCCCTGATTTATACCAATTTCCATAGTATAAATATTTTTACCATAGCTGGTTTTAAGCTACCAACGTATCAACTGGCCTGCAAAATTCCTGAAAATGTAACGATTGGCTTTTGTGAGCCCGTCAAGCCAGCTTCAGCATTCAGATAACTGCTGGCATTTCCCTCCATTCATTATGAAGTACCCAATCAGCTTTTCACTGAAGGATTTCCAGCAGCTATTGATGGTCTTGGCCTAGGTCCATTATTTCATTAGAATTGTACAATGGTGGTATTCAAATTTGCACTCCTTGTAAAATGAGTATTAATTAGAATAGTACCATAAAGAAAAAAATTCCCTTATCTATTTGGCACCCAGATAGAGAAGTTCATACAGGAAAAGTGGGATAAATTCTTAATTCTTCCCCCACCTTCCCTTTTCTAAACCAATTTTCAGAGTAATGAGTTGCTTCTCTAGCATCTGCCAAAGGCAACCAAATGAATCTTTTATTTTTAGTATCATTATGAATTCAAAATTTAAAAATTATATATATATTTGGTATGTTTCAATCCATGGCATTTATATTTTTAATGCTCAAATTGTCCCACCTTTGGCTAGTGGGAGCCTCTCCAAATTGGCCACTAAATCTTTCGATATAATCCCAGTAGTCTTTGTTAAGTGTTCTTGCTTTCTGGTATGAAGATATTTCAAGCTCTTCTTGTGTATTTCTTGTTCAAGAACTGGAATCAGCTATTTCTCTAAAGAGCACTGATCTTGTAATGAGAAATTTTATTTTGAGGGTACAGTCTGGGCAGTAGCCCAGCTAGGCCCTTGATCTTGGGTTTGTTACTATTTTTAGGCCTTTTCAGTGAGCAGAGAGAGGGAAAATACAAATTTTTCTTTAAGAGAAAATATATTGTGGGTACATGCTGATATTTCCAGTTCAAATCTAGAATTACAGGGTTTAAAAGAAGTTATATTTAAAGTGCTTAGAGGAAGAAGCAAAAATAAATGAAAAAAATACAGCTATTCAGAGATAACGGACAGATATTACTGGAACTTAATCTTGGAACATTATACATATAAATGTGCATGAGAATCACTGCTGTGCTTATAACTAGGATTCTGCTGGAAGAAGTAGGAGTGTGCACCACCTATTTTCTGTTCAAGAGGATATTCATCTCAGATTTGATCCCCTGGCATCATTTATTCTCCTTACTGACCATTGCATCGTGGTGAGTAAATTCATCTTTAGATGAGATTAGGTCAAATCTAGTGGTGGGTCCAAAGTATTAATATAATCATGTGGTGAGAAAGACGAACCTTACAAAATTAAGTTAGTTATTTGTCTAGAAGACTACAATGCTTTAAAGTTGATTTGAATTAAAAGAAGCAGAGGCATTGACAAGTAATACCTGTTTTGGAACCTCGTTCTAAGCAATACCATAAAACCAGAATAACTAAGGGAATTGTAGGAACTGTAAAATTGGATTAAGGATCTTTTAAAAATAATATTTCTTTCTACATAAATAATACATGCTTAATGTAGAGAACTTGGAAAATTTAGAAATAAAGTAAATCAGCCCCACATTATTCTTTTATCACGCTACTTATTATAACCATTGTATGTCATTATGATACTCTTTTTTTCTCATATATATTAGTATATGAGTTTTTAATGTAAAATAGTAATTTTCATTCTCTTGCGGTTTGATTTTTTTTTCTACTGAGGAATTTGTTTTGACTATTTTCTTTCTTTTTTTTTTTTTTTAAGATTTATTTGTCAGAGAGGGAGCACACACAAGCAGGGGCAGCGGCAGGCAGAGAGAAAGAGAGAAGCAGGCTCCCCACTGAGCAAGGGGCCCGATGTGGGACTCGATCCCAGGACCCTGGGATCATGACCTGAGCTGAAGGCAGCTGCTTAACCGACTGAGCCACCCAGGCATCCCCTATTTTCTGACTTCAGTTTATATTATTTTAAAAAATGATGTCTATTGGCATAAATATACCTTAATTTATTTAACCATTTTTCTATTGTTAACTGGGTATTGACATAAAACGCACCAAAGAGACACCCTACAATGTTGAGAAGAAAATTTAAGCCTTTAATTTCACCTTCCAGACATAGCTTTACTATATATCTTCAGAGCCTTACGATGTAAATTTATTATTATTTTAATTTACTTGTATTACTTGTATGATTAAGCTTTTTAGAAATATGACTAATGGGCATTTATATCTCAGTTTTACAAGTTCCTTTTGTGTCATTTGTTTTTCTTTTGGGTTTTTTTAATAGTCACCTAGATTAGGCTTTGGAAACTTTGATGTACTTATGAATCACCAGGGAACATTAGTAAGAGACAGATTCTGATTTAGTAGGGCTGAGATGGCGCCTGAGATTCTGCCTTCCCAACAGGCACAAGGCGATCCCAATGATGAGCTGGAGTCCATACTTTGAGAAACCAGAACCTAGATTATGTCTCTTCACTGTGAGTTAATCTCCAAGTGAATGCCACCCTGACGGAGAAAGCAAACGAAAATGCGGCCTCAGTTCACTCAGCCTGCAGTGCACTATGTACTGTTTTTCTTTACTCTTCTACAACTCGAAATAAAACCAATTATACTTCTAGTACAGTGAAGTTGGACTGTTTTAATTTGATCACTTTATATAACTATGAATTACTTTGTTTCAGTATTGGTCTCAGTATCCAAATTCTAAAAGAGCAATGCTGAGGCAATTTATTTTATTTATTTATTTATTTTAAAGATTTTATTTGTTTATTTGACAGAGCGAGAGACAGTGAGAGAGGGAACAAAAGCAGGGGGAGTGGGAGAGGGAGAAGCAGTCTTCCCGCTGAGCAGGGAGCCTGATGTGGGGCTCGATCCCAGGACCCTGGGATCACGACCTGAGCCGAAGGCAGACGCTTAATGACTGAGCCACCCAGGCGCCCCAATGATGAGGCAATTTATAATTTTCTTTTTTGGTGGATCAGTTGTTTGATTCTCTTTGGTCATTTATTTTTCTTGCATAGTCATTTCTGGTAATGATGTCTTTTCCATTTTTGTTAATGAGGCCATTTTAAAAACCTTAACTGTCGTTGTACCCATGTATCTGTTTCATATTAACATTGATTTCTCTGCAGGCCCGGGTCCTTTTTGTGATAATTGTGCTGATCCAGCTCACCATTCTCATTACTTTTAGGCACCGAGGATATCCAGAGCATAAAGGTTAGTCATGGTTCCTTTTATTCTCAGAAGACTTCATTCTTAAGTGTCATATAATGTCCTATTGCCAAGTGATAAAAATATAAATTATCTTTCCTGAGCTTTGTGAGGTGCATTCTTCAAACTTACTATACTTTGTCCACAGTACTTGAGCTTTTAAAAAAAAATCAGTTTTTTTGCTGCTACATTGCAGTAATATGAAACTCAACCTGAAAATGGGGGAAGAATCACAATATAGCTCAAAATGACCAAACGTCTCTGCCAGATATTAAGGATCCTCCACAGTTGGGTCTTACCTAATTAGCCGCATCTTCAACCATTTACCTATATTTCAGCCTAGATAATTTTCCACTGTTCCCTACACACACCATACTCATTTCTGCTTCTGTGCTTTTGCCTAGGCTATTATCTCTAAGTTATTTTTCTAAACTTATCTATATTTTAGCCTCCTTTAGGGCTCACCTCAAACCCTCTTTTTCCATACCATTTTCTCCACCCCTTTCAGGTCATAATGAGCTCTTGCTTCTCTGAATCCCTATAGTCCTTCCTGATAATTAATGCTATACTTGGCCAGTCAGTCACCTTGCTTTACGTAAGCACCCCAAATGTATATATACATTTTCTCCTCAACCAGACTGTAAGTTCTTCAGTATAGGAGCTCTTGTTTTCTGCTTCTTTTCTGTTTCTCACAGCACCCAGCACTGTGTGCATAACAGACAATAAATACTTGTTGAATTAAATTTTCCTTACCCCTTCGGGGCTTGGATGAAATCCCTGAGATCAGGGACTGATTGTAGGGGACGGGAGTACTGCAGCAATGACTCAACAGTAAAATGGCTAACTGCAGAGGGAATGTACACATCCTACTGAATGTTTTCCTGCATATATATATTTTCACAAATTCTATGAAGAAGTTCAAGAAGCATTATTGCACACATATATGTTCCTGCATATAATGTAAATAAATAAATGTTTAAGGGAGGGCCCCAGCCTCATTCTGTGGGGATACCAATATCTTTGTGTAGTTATTTAAAATTTACAACATATTTTTACCTGCATTATCTCACTTAATCTTTATAGCAATCCTGTGAAATAGGTATTATTGTCCCCGTTTTAAAGATTAGGACACTAAGGACTGGGGAGGTTGTGAAGGTTGTTCAAAGTCTCATCGCTAATAAGAGATAAAGGAGAGACTTGAAACCTATGTCTTCTGACCCCAGGTCAGTTCTTTTCTTTAAACACTTCTCAACTTCGATTGCACCTTAGACTCCCCTGGGAAACTTTTAAAATCTCGGTGTCTACACAGCACCCTAGACCAATCACATCAGAATCGCTAGGGGTAGGACCTAAGCATCAGTATTTTATAAAGCTCCCCAGATGATTCCAATGGGCAGTCAAGGCTGAGGCGTTCAGCTCTGACTAAAGCAGTATTTCTCAGTCCTGGCTGCTTAGAATCACCTGGGTTGCAGCCTAAGCTTCCACTCTCCCTCAGGTCAATTAAATCTGAATCTCTGGGGGCGCCTGGGTGGCTCAGTCGTTAAGCATCTGCCTTCGGCTCAGGTCATGATCCCAGGGTCCTGGGATCAAGCCCCGCATCGGGCTCTCTGCTCGACGGGAAGCCTGCTTCACCCTCTTCCATTCCCCCCTGCTTGTGTTCCCTCTCTCGCTGTCTCTCTGTCAAAATAAATAAATAAAATCTTAAAAAAAAAAAAATCTGAATCTCTGGTGAGTGAGACCTGGGCATGAATATTGTCTCAGAGTTCCTCCAGGTTATTCTAATGTGGAGCCAAAATAGAAAATCATGTTTAAAGTTTATGCTGAAAGTTTAAAGCATAGCTGCCTCCAAGGCTAAAGGATTATTTATTTTTAATAAGTAATAATTATTGGGGTGCCTGGGGGCCTCAGTTGGTTAAGCATCTGCCTTCAGCTGAGGTCATGATACCAGGGTCCTGGGATTGAGCCCTATGTCAGGCTTCCCTGCTCACTGGGGAGTCTGCTTCTACCTCTGCCCCTCCCTCCACTCATGCTCCAGCGCAACTCTCTCTATATCTCAAATAAATAAAATCTTTAAAAAGAAATAATTATTATAGATGGATATATAGATGAATACTTTGAGAAGTACCAGACTAGAACAAGAAAGAATCTAAGAGAAGAATGAGTAGCAAGAATGTAACGGAGTGGGGAAGGTCATGCATTATCAGGTTTTATACAAAATCAACTGTCAGGCTGAACAGTGTTTTAAGTACAAAATGGATATGTTGGCCTATTAGGAGAGACATACTATTTAACTTATATCAGGCTGTCTTTGACCTCTAGGGGCGCTCAGTGTGTACCGAACTTCGTGTCGTAGTCTTCTGCTGACTGGTTTATGACCAGCCACACACACGAGTGAAATGGCGGCTGAGGTTGAGGATCTGTGATACTTTAGTCTGTGACCACAGAATGGAGCTTCTCTGTGTGAAGCCCATATGCTTGGCATTTTGGCACTATATTTTAAGAGATCTTAATTTGAAGAGCTTTAGGGATCCCTTTCAATTGGAGTAAGAGGATGGCTGTGAGTTAAGAGCTATGTCACATATGGGAAAGGAATATTGGACAGTCATACTTAAGATTAGACTGGAGAAATTTTGATATTTCTTTGATATATTTCGATAACATGATTTGGAAGTGTGTACATTTGGATACTAAATCCCATAGAAAACAGAGACTTTGAGCATAGCACTATATTTCACACCTACATCATTTAATCATTTAAAAGTGTGTATGTGTGCATGTATGCACATGCGTGTCTCCCAACTACACCATTGCTTTGAACTTCCTACCCTCTGCAATTCTTTTTTTTTTTAAGATTTTTAAAATTTATTTGACAGAGAGACAGTGAGAGACGGAACACAAGCAGGGGGAGTGGGAGAGGGAGAAGCAGGCCTCCCGCCGAGCAGGGAGCCTGATGTGGGGCTCGATCCCAGGACCTTGGGATCATGACCTGAGCCGAAGGCAGAAGCTTAACAACTGAGCCACCCAGGCGCACCCCCCCCCCGCAATTCCAAGTGGACTGGCTTATCAGGCTTCCTGTCAACTTCTGAATTTAAAATGGTGTCATCTGTATGTTTACTATATAACGAAAGATAGCCCATGGAAGTCTAGAAAATGTTATAAAGAATTTGAACTTTGTCAGTCATAGAAAGACAAATATATGATTTCATTCATGTAGAATTTAAGAAACAACAGATGAACATAAGGGAAGGACAGGAAAAATAAAGTAAGATGAAATCAGAGAGGGAGACAAACTGTAAGAGACTCTTAACTCCAGGAAGCAAACAGGGTTGCTGGAGGGGAGTTGGGTGGGAGGATGGGGTAACTGGGTGATGGGCATTAAGGAGGGCACTTGATGTAATGAGCACTGGGTGTTGTATGCAACTGATGGATCACTAAACTCTACCTCTGAAACTAATAAAAAAAAAAGAAATTGAACTTTGCATGTGCTCACTGGATTTTTGAAATTTATTCTGTTTAGGGTCTCCAGGATTTATAAATTTGACCTCATTTTCCCTCCACGTCCTGAGCAAACTAAACATCTTCTATTATTCTGTGTTGTTGCTAACCCTATATACAGCACTGGGTAAGTCAATTAGGAAACCTGAATTGTGGAGAATTCTGCCAAAGAATATATGGAGAATTTTGACAATAGAGTCATTTAGACTCTTGAGAACATAATGAACAGCACATGGCTTCTTCATAAATCATTTCCTGGAACATGGTTTTAGGAAATAAAGTTCTTTCCTAACATGTTCAAAGGACATTTAGTTGACACTGAGTTAACTTAAGCTGAGAGGACCATTAAAGAATTAGTATGTGTATGCAGAGTAGCCTTCTTTGACTACCTTAAAATTTTATCCTTTATTTCATCACACTTTTTATTTCCTTCATTACTTTATCAGAATCTATGATTATCTTCTGTGTTTATCATCTCTTCCTTCATTAGAATATCCATTGAGGTATTGTCTGTCTTGTTTACCTCTATGCCCAGCACTAAGCACAATGTCTAGTATGTAGTTCAGTGAATATTTACTTATGGATGCCCCTTAAAAACTCAGCTCAAAAAAGAGAAACAGATGAGCAGTGAGTTCAGGCATATCCAGGTTCTTCTGTTATATTATTATACCTAATACTTAGTCACTTAGCCACTTATGGAAGCAGGAAGCACTGTGATTCTGTTTTTAAAGCTTTTTACTAATGTTCCTTAGTGACTAAAAGTTAGGAGTAGATTAGCCTACTTGTTGCTTGGTCTTTGTCTTATACTTTTATTCCACTTCCGGATTTTTCTTTGCTCATTAGTAACTCCAACCAGAGAACAGAGAGTAGTTAGATAAAAAAATATATAACACTCTACAATTCTGTGTACCAGGCTATGGCAGATGGCCCTTTGGAGGTCAGTTTCCTTGTTAGAAGATAGGTTGAAGCTATTTTAGACACTTGCCTTACACTAGAAGGGAAAGCACATGATTTGGTTCCTGGCTGTAAAAGAAAACATTAAAAGGACAGAAGTTGCTCCATGTTTAAAAGTTGAAACTTGCAGGGAAAACACTTTTTTAGACTGTGCATCCACAGTCTAAAATTACCTATGATTTTTTAATGCTGAACCCTCTTCTTACCAGCAGATGATGGTATTTGCATTTTGAGAAAGAAAGTCTTTTTTTTTTTTTTTAAGATTTTATTTATTTATTTGACAGAGAGAGAGACAGCAAGAGAGGGAACACAAGCAAGGGGAGTGTGAGAAGGAAAAGCAGGCTTCCCGCGGAGCAGGTAGCCCGATGCGGGACTTGATCCCAGGACCCTGGGATCATGACCTGAGCCGAAGGCAGACGCTTAACGACTGAGCCACCCAGGCGCCCCAAGAAAGAAAGTCTTGACTGTTCATTAATCACCCTTGACAATATAGTAGTTCCAGAAACCTGCACACTAGGAAGGGCAGTAAATAATAGGGAGGAGAGAAAAGTCATTCTGGCATTCTAAATGAAAAATTAAAGAAGTTAAATTTTGTACATGTTAACCTCAAGTGTATAGTTGATGTACAAAGTAATGACTTGGGTCAGCAAGAAAAGGTCAGAATACATTCATTAATAAGAAAGAGAAGAAGTGCATTTTAGAAAGATGAAAGTGGTTGAAGTTTTATTGCTTAAAGGAGTATATATCAGTTATCTGGAAAATTAACTTCCATAGAATACCTCTTTGCTTTTTAAAGGAAATGTTAATGCATTATTTTGAGATTATTATTGCAACAGAATCTTCTAAAGTTTCTGAACATACTCTGACCTGTTTCTTGAATCTATTCAGGTATAGCATGTACTCAGATGATTTTATAATCAGACAAAAGTGGAGAGCAAAGGAGCAAGTGGTTGGTTAGCTAGGACGTATGGTGCAACATAGAGATTAATAAAGAAGAAAAATTATGCCAATAAAATGCTTATCAGCAACTCTCATACTTCTTTGTTATTCCTATAAATGCACCTTGTGATGTATATAATCAGAATCATAGTCATTTAATCTTCTCCTTCTGTGCCCATTGCCTCTTTCAGGACCGTGGTTTGTTGGTGAGATCACTAAAGGCAAAGTGGGTTGCTGCTTTTCCTTTGGGATATTTGTTGATGGACATTTCCTACAAGGCAGCCTAACATTTGTAGTTGGAATTCTGCAGGTAAGAAGTCAGAAATGGAATGTAAGAATGCCTTGGCCTTTTGGACTACTGCATAATAGTTATGAATTAAATCCAGAGCCTCCAACTAAACACCACAGATCATATTTCCTAATTTACTGGCAGGGCAATCTTGAATATTTGGTGTTTTGTTTGTTTTTCAAGTGCTTCCTAAGCTCTTTCTTCCACCACTCTCTCGTAAACATCTAAAATACATTTTGGCAGGAAGGGTTTATAAAAAGTGAAAGAGATTTTTGTTTTTGTAGTTTGTTTTACTGTGCTTTCCCATTGATAAAAAATGAAATAAGGGACTTATAGTAGAATAAATAAGTAAACCAAAATTGATTATGATAATGAAGAAGGCAAATGTTTCGGAGGGAGTAAAGGAAAAACAGACTTACAAGAAAAATGGGTCAGTTGTCCAGTGGAAGCTGCACTGGGCAAGCACCAGACCTGGGCCTTTCAGTGATGTCTTAGCTGCTGCTTGTTTGAAAACACTGATAGATTACGTTTACACATGGATTGAGATTCCTTTAAAAGAAACACACAGGGGCACCTGGGTGGCTCAGTCAGTTAAGTGTCTGCCTTCAGCTCAGGTCATGATCTCAGGGTCCTGGGCTCTGGCCCCACATCAGGCTCCCTGCTCACTGGGAATTTTGCTTTTCCCTCTCCCTCTGCCCCTGCTCGTGCTCTCTCCCCCTCTCTCTCAAATAAATAAAATCTTAAAAAAAAAAAAAACAAACACACAAAAAACGGACTAATAGCAAATCTCTGTATATAGGTTTGAAAAGTATTTACCTATTTATGTATTTTATTCACCTAATGGGGCTAAGGTACTAAAATCTCAGGTGATGATCTCATGTTTGGGAAGAGATCCAAAAATATTGTTCAGAATGAGTTCACAACCTCATAATAGGACAGTAAAAGGTGATCAGCAAAACAGGGAAGACTTCTGCCTAGGAAACATTGACCACAGACAGAACATTCTCTGTATAGCAGCATTTTATATGTGAGTAAGTCCTGAGTCTGGTTCAGTTTTCCATTATGTAGATGAAGGCTGTCTCTCAGGAGCACTCTGATACCAAATAAAACCTGAGCCTTACTAAAAGGTGGGGATTATATTCATATTTTAATAAGTAATACACCACTAGTGGATTTTATGTATCATATAGGCCCATGGCTCCCAAATATGTTAATCTCTGCCCTCGACTTCTTTGCACTTCAAGTGCCTATATACCCATCTGCCATTTAATATCTTCCCTTAGATATCTAACAGGCATCTCAATATTATGTGTCTAATAGGACCTTTAGTTTCTACCTCAAACCTGTTCCTCCCCCAGTTCTTTGCAATTTCAGTAAGTTTTTCTAGGATGTATCTTTAATTTTGCCCTTTCCCTCTAATACCCTGTATCTAATTCATTAGCAAGTAATACCTTGTTTGATCTCCTTCCAATGCATATCTTGAATCCACCACTTCTCTTCATCTCTGTTATTATTACGCTAGTCTAACTCATAATTATTTCTTGTCTGGGCTACTGCAGGAACCCCAGATTGGTCTTCCCACTGCTACTCTTCCTACTCTCAGTTTACCATAGAGCATCCACTGTTGTCCTTTTAAAACCTTAATCAGCTCACTCTTCAGCTTAAAACCCTTTAAGCAGAGCAGTGACATGATCTGGGTCTTGCTGATTGCCTCAGTTTCCACCTGGCTCATCATGTTCTAGGCTAATGGGCCTTAAATAGGCCAAAGCCTCTCCCACATCAGGGATTTTTACTTGTTTCCTCTCCCCGGAATGTACTTCCTTCCACTAAGTCATTCCTGTTCTTCAGGCCTCAGAACCCATCTGTCAGTTACTTACTCTCATGTGACCCAGTTATCTCCTTCATTGACTGCCTCAGTTTCCACCTGGCTCATCATGTTCCAGGCTTATTGGCCTTAAATGGGCCAAGGCCTCTCCTGGGAACCGCAGGGGTTTTTGTTTCTTCTGCCTGGAATATACTTCCTTCCACTGAGTCATTCCTGTTCTTCAGGCCTCAGAGAACCCATCTCTCAGTTACCCCCTTGTGACCCAGTTATTTCCTTCATTGAATTTATGACAATCTATAGTGATCTTTTGTGTTTATTTTTTTGGTCTCTCTTCTCTCTGTTAAAATGTAAGCTCTATGATGCATCCTCTCTGAGTTGCCACTGTGTCCTTAGCTTAGAGCCTAGCACAGTGCCTGCCATGTAATGGGCACACAATAATTATTTGGTGAATGAATTAAGAATCATACAGCAGCTAAACTTAGATTATAACTTAAATCTTTAAAAAAAATTTTTTTTTAAAGATTTTATTTATAGCGGAGCCTGGGTGGCTCAGTCATTAAGCGTCTGCCTTCGGCTCAGGTCATGATTCCAGGGTCCTGGGATCGAGCCCCGCATCGGGCTCCCTGCTCAGCGGGAAGCCTGCTTCTCCCTCTCCCACTGCCCCTGCTTGTGTTCCCTCTCTCACTGTCTCTCTATGTCAAATAAATAAATAAAAATTTTTAAAAATATTTATTTGTCAGAGAGAGGGAGAGAGAACAAGCAGGGGGAACTGCAGCAGAGGGAGAGGGAGAAGCAGGCTCCCTGCTGAGCAAGGAGCCCCAGGTGGGACTTAATCGAAGGACCCGGGATCATGACCTGAGCTGAAGGCAGCCGCTTAACCGACTGAGCCACCCAGGCGTCCCTATAACTTAAATCTTCTGATTTGTATTCCAGTACTCATGATGCTACTTTAATTAAAAATACAGAGATAACGGGGGTGTCTGGCTGGCTTAGTTGGTGGAGCATGTGACTCTTGATCTTGGGGTTCTGAGTTTGAGCCCATGTGTGGTGTAGAGTTTACTTAAAATAAAAAAAATTAATAGAAAATACAGAGATAAGAAAAAAATATTGATACCTAAGTCCCCCCTCACTGTGCCAAAAGAAGTGTGTATGTATTCAATTCATTTCCACCTTAAACATTACTGAGGGCTTCAACATAAATGATACCTACTTTTAAGATGAACAAAAGGATGCAGGTAAATACACAACTATAAGTCACTTATTTTGAGTGTTATAAGCAAATGTGATTGAAGCATAAAGAATCAGAGAGTTAACCCCCGAGAGAGAGCAACATATTCTTAGGAGCCACTAATAATGCGTTCATGAGACCCGACCCTCTAAGGTCTTGCTAATAAGCTAATGGTTCTGTTCTGCCTCTTTCCAGCTGGCATTTTTTAACATACCGTTGATGGCTTACCTGTGTTGGAGCTTGCTGCAGCGGTGCTGTGGTCACAACTTCCGGTCTCATCTCCGTCAAGGAAAATACTTGAAAATCGTACCTGTTCACCTACTTATGTTACTGCTGTACATCTGGCAGATTTATTCCTGTTACTTTCTTCATATGACATACGGCGCTCTAGCTTTTTTCTTCTCCCCTTTGCGGACCTGGTTGACACTGCTGACACCTGTTATCATTCGAGGTGTGTGGACTCTGAACTCTACCGAGCTTGGAACCTTCATAGCACAGTTAAAAAGCCACTTGAGCTCCTGAAGGCCTTGCCTCACCATCTGCCCCTGGAGCCCAGGCCCCTGCCCCAGCAGCAGGTAGAAGGCCAGAAGGCCAGTGCTGATGGGCAAGCTTCAGGGAGCTGGGGCACTCTGGACACCTAGGAGTTGGGGGGATTGCCCACTTCTGATTCCTGCAGAATGGACTGCAGAAAAATCTCTAAATAATGCCACGATTCCTTCCTTCTCCAAGAAGGCAGGGGATTGATTTACTTTTGTGAAGAGAAAGTTCTAATCAGGAGATCCACAGGGCAGGGTCTGGATGTGTGTATGGGAGTATCAGAAGCCCAGTGTATTTTTTATGGTTACCTCATGTAAAGTACCCAGCACGGTATGTGGACCTCGGTAGCCGGCACCACTTCAGAGTCGGGGAAGCAGTACGAACTTGAGGCCTCCCCTGACTACCCTCGAGATACTAGCTCCAGGTCTTCTTTTCTCTCGGGGTTATGGGCTCTCGGCTTCTTTAGGTGTGGGTGCTTTCAGCTAATCAAATAAAAGAGTGATGATTCAGAACTCCGACTGGGCGTTGCGTCTGCGACCAGGGTTTTGGGAGCGGGTGGGGGCGGGGCCGGACAACCGGAGCGGAAGAGAGGCGTGGCCCGGCCTCGGGAGATCGGAAGGGGTGTGGCGGGGGCTCTGGGGCGGGGCCGGGCGGGTTGTTGCCGGAAACGAACCCGGGTCTGTGACTCCCGGAAGTTAAGCGCCTACGGCAGTGCGGCCCGGGCAGCTTCCGTGGCCGCTTTTGTCTGGAGGTTCCAGGCGATCTGCTGAGATGGCGAGCGCAGCTGCACCTACAGCCGCAGTCCCCACCCTGGCTCCGCCTTTGGAGCAGATGCGGCACCTGGCAGTGGAGCTGCGGTTACTCCTGCCTGGAGTGCGGGGTAAGCTGACGCCCTTGAGACGGGCGACGGCAGGGGCGGGCTTGGTTCGGGAAGAGGCCGGCTGTGGCGCGGGCGGAGGCGGGGGCACGAGCGGAGGAGGTGGGGGCTGGGGGTGGCTCCGCTTACCTGTGCTCTTCCTCTTGCCACCGCCCGACCGACATGCTAAACCCACTAGTCGGAGAAGCCCGAGAGACCACCAAGGAGTTTAATCCTGAGACGTTTTGGAGGAGACTCAGTGAGTGCCTCTCCTGTTGGGGACTTAGCATTTCTCATCCTTCCAGTGTACCCACCCCTTTCCCTCCCGCTTTTACCGCCGCCGCATCCTCTCAGTGGGGATACTTCACCTTACCCATCCTTTGTACTTCGAAGTTTGGGATATGAAACATTGATTTTGGGAGGTGTTTTTGAGACGTCTCAGCCGGTGAGGCTGGCATCTTCAAAGCCCATGCGGCAGCTGCAGGCTCATCCTTTTGGCACTAACGTATTGGCTCCTCCCTCAGACGCGGCAGCTGTGAACGTGTCAAGGGAAGCCACGACTCTGACTGAAGTCTTCTCTCGAGTGCCACTGCCCTCTCCACAGGTGGGCTGTACTTTCCTGGAAATCTTGTGCTGCATCGTTCATTAGGAATCCAGTCACTTTCTTTCCACCTTCTACACTCAAGCCAGGGCATTTATTTTCCACACCTGTCAGATAGGATTGCCGTTCTCAGAGGATTGCGGTGAAGGCCAAATTGCCAAGTGCGGTACCCGGCACGGCGTAGGCAGGTCTTCTAAATAGGTATCCGTTCAATCTGCGGTTCATCCTGGTTATTTCCTTTCTGATATATATTTTTTAAACACTCGCTATTTGCTAGGTGTTTTCACATACGTGATTCCCATCTGACAGATGAGTAAGCAGCTTTAGAAACTCAGGTTAAGGTAAATAAGCAGTGGAGCTGGGATTGAATTAGGGTCTGTGATGTCTAAACTACACCTTTTCTGTTATACTACATAATACCCTTTTGTATCGAATTTCTTTATATTTAATCAGTAACATATGTATACAGTATAAAATTCAGAAGATGTTAAAGTTAAATGTGCTAAAAAGTTTATATTTCCCCTCCCCAGTTACTTTTGTGTTATTCCATATATATTCGAGGCATATACACACTTATGTGTATATGCCTGCTTTTTTACACAAATGATAGGATACCATAAACACTTTTCTGGGCCTTCCTTTAAAAAAAATCAACAACATGGATTGCACATTGATTCTTAGCACATAAAAAGTTGCTCAGTTCTTTGTAATGCTGCATGGTATCCAATAGAGTGGATATAACCATAATTTATTTAACCAATACTTCATGTGGACATTTAAGCTCTTTCCAACTTGTAACTATTATAAACAGTGCTGTGGTAAATTGCCTAGGACAATCTTTGTATGTATGTGTATCAGAAAAAAAAATTTCCAGAAGTGGAATTGCTGGAAAAGGAATTTATGCATTTTATTTTTCATTTTATTTTATTTTTTTTTTTATTTTTTTTTTTTAAGATTTTATTTATTTATTTGACAGAGACAGAGACAGTGAGAACAGGAACACAAGCAGGGGGAGTGGGAGAGGGAGAAGCAGGCCTCCTGCTGAGCCGGAAGCCCGATGTGGGACTCGATCCCAGGACCCTGGGATCATGACCTGAGCCGGAGGCAGTCGCTTAACCAACTGAGCCACCCAGGCGCCCTCATTTTATTTTTTTAAAAGATTTTATTATTTGAGGGAGAGAGAGTGCGAGCACAAGCAGGGGGAGTGACAGGTAGAGGGAGAAGCAGGCTCCCGCTGAGCAAGAAGCCCGATGCAGGCTTGATCCCAGGACCCTGGGATCACGACCTGAGCTGAAGGCAGATGTTTAACTGACTGAGCTACCCAGGCGCCCCTGCATTTTTATTTTTAAAAAGATTTTATTTATTTATTAGAGAACACGAGTGATGAGGAGGGGCAAAGGGAGAAGCAAACTCCCCGCTGAGCAGGGAGCCCAACTCTGGGCTCAGTCTCAGGACCCCGAGATTATGACCCAAGCCAAAGACAGACGCTTAACTGACTGAGCCACCCAGCACCCCAAATGTATGCATTTTTAAATAACCTGTTACTGTAAAACTGATGAAAGTAAACATGTTGGCTATGACCAGGTATGCTTTATGCCGTTTTTCTAGAACTAGGTATACTTAATTCAGAAGTAAGGTTATTTTAAAATGGCGTATTCATTGCCTTATTTGGTTTTCCTAATCAATAGTTTCATTCTTTTTCAATCTATGTATCCAGATGTTTTGAAATGAGAAAATATTCTTTTGCTGCACCTATAATGATAAACTCTCCCCCTATCAACCCCAGAGATCTATGATGAGAAAATAAGAAATGAATTGTTTGAGAGCATTTTAAAAGCTTTGTGCAAGAAAGAATATTTATTTTAAAGGGAGTAATATTACCTTATTTTTCTTATCTGTTGCCTCCTTTCTTTCAGATATACTCAGGACTTGTTGCTAGAATTCAAAGCTAATGGGATACCATGAGGAGGTAGCATAGTATTATTTTTCTGTACATGCTCAGGACAGTGGTTTCATTCATAGGTGAAAAGTTTTAGTTTTATTTGAATTATATGTATTTGAATGACGATTGTTGTCTTAGGATCCTAGCACGTTAGTTTACTGAAGAATGGCTTTTTTTTAATTAATTTTTTTTTTATGTGTTTGGATGTTGAAGCAATGTCACATTGCCATAAAAACTTTTAAACACTTACTCTCAGTCACTGTGCTTATCCACCGTCCCAGACTGGTAACTGTTCAGAGACTGGCACCTATCTGTGGACCACATTTTATGTAGCACTGGCTTAGAATTTAGCAGAAAAGTGAGGACAAGGAAGATAGGAGAAAGTCAGTGACTGCTTAGAAGGAAAATAGTCAACATTGAGCAATGTAGAGTCTATGCTAATTACCTTTAGATATATTGTGATTCTGTTAGAGAGAGAGATCAGACACCTGGCTAATGGTCTAAGGGTTGGCAAACTTTTCTCTAAAAAGTCAAATAGTAAATATTTTAGGCTTTGCAGGTGAACTAGTTAACTTCGTCCTTGTAGTGTGAACACAGCTGGAGGTAATACGTAAACGAGCGTGGCTGTGTGCAAGTAACACTTTATTTATAAAAACTGGCCCTGGGCCATAGTTGCCAGCTCCTGGTCTAAGATATGATGAATACCTCACAGCAGATCATGAGTACCTCAGGATGTAGAGTATTAGGAATAAGTTTTTCCTGCTGTTTCTTAATGTTTTATTGAGTTGTCCCCTCATTCTCTGGTGTCCAGCTAACTCCTCTGTGCTATGTGGCAGGAACAGCACAAGGCCTAAGTCATAATGGGACTACAGAAAATGTTTGTAGATCATGCTGTACAGACATCTCTCTTTTACAGTAGATGGGCTGATGAATCTAATCCATTTTTTTTTTTCATTCTGAAATTGATCCATCACCTCATAGGAAACCCAGAGGTTCTGTGAACAAGTGCGTGCTGCCATCACGGCAGTCATTACAGTATACTATTCACTTCCCAAGGATCAGGGTAAGCCACTGTGTACACAGAAATGTTTGGTTTATAGGGTAGATCTTTGCTAATATAACAGCTTATGTCTTGAGACTTTTCCCTTGTCCTCAATTTGAGCATGTAATGTAACTTTCTCTCATAAAACCCTCATGGATAATTTTATAACATCCATAAATAAGCCTTTATGCTAAGGTACAGATGCTGTGCCACCACCTTCCCTGCTTTGCCTGACTCTAAGGCTTTTAATTCTCACTGGCTCCTCCCTCTCTAACCCATTCTAACCACTACAGATGCTGGATCTATAGGGGCCTCCCCAGTCTCCTCCACCCATATTACATCACACCCTGTTTCTGAGCTCCCTTACGGTTAAGTGAGCTCCAGCTCTGCCCGTAGATTAATGCTTTGATTATAATTGTGACAAAATTATAAATGAATACATGTCTCATGGATCTTCAGGGTTAGTCACAGATGGTTTAAACTTCAAGTGTTTCATCCACCGTTGTCAAGGGACCATTGACCTTAATGAATGGATACATGCTGTCCTGGAAAGATTTTGTTCCTGATCTCTCTTGGAGAACAGTACTCAGGAATGGTGGGAGGAGCAAGAAAATGACATGGGGAAATACATAAGACCTGAGTTTTGTGTTGGCACTGCAATTAAAGCATGTGGGTGTGCATTACCTCAAGTTCTGAATGGTTTAAATGCTCAAGAAAGCAGATGGTGACTTCTGGAAAGAAGACCAGGCTACTTAGTCTTTGGGTTTCTTCAGGAATCACCCTGAGAAAGCTGGTACGGAATGCTACTCTGGACATCGTAGATGGAATGGCTCAGCTTGTGGATGTGCTTTTCATTACTCCAGCTCAGAGGTAGTAATGCCACAGTTGGGGTTATCAGTTAGTGGGGTTTCTTGCTTCAGGGAGGGGAAAAAAAAATCATTTTCTTTTTTTTTTTTTTAAAGATTTTATTCATTTATTTAATTGACAGAGACAGTGAGAGAGGGAACACAAGCAGGGTGAGGGGCAGAGGGAGAAGCAGGTTTCCTGCAGAGCGGGGAGCCCGATGCGGGG